CCACCCTTTCTCTGTCTGTCCAGCGGCTCTACAGGCCTTGAAGAGGAAAAAGCGGTACGAGAAGCAGCTGGCTCAGATCGACGGGACGTTGTCTACCATTGAGTTCCAGAGGGAGGCGCTAGAGAATGCTAACACCAACACAGAAGTGCTCAAGAACATGGGCTTCGCCGCCAAGGCAATGAAGGCTGCACACGAAAACATGTAAGAGACAGTCACGGGTTGTTGTTCGTACTTTGGGTTACTGCATGCAGGAGGATGAAGTAAAAACCAATGACTTCATTCCTCAGCTGTCCTTAACGTTCCCGACGAGCTTGTGATCTCTAGATCTAAAGAATCAACGTCTCTTCTTGTCTCGTTCCTTTTTTTTTAGTTGTTCCTTGTTTTCCTTTGTTTGTAGTCCGACAATCTAAATGACACGTGTTCTCTCTTCCTCTCTGTGTGTCCTCCTGTTTCACAGGGATATAGACAAAGTAGACGATCTGATGGCAGACATTACAGAACAACAGGAAGTGGCTCAAGAAATCTCTGATGTAATTTCCAGACCGATCGGTTTCGGAGAAGACTACGATGAGGTGAGAACGCAGACGAGAACCATTTTGGGTTCATTCTAACATGAATTAGTCTGTGTCTGTGGCGTGCCCGCGTAACCTGATTGATTACTTCTGTGTGTGTTCAGGATGAGCTTATGGCTGAGCTGGAGGAGCTGGAACAGGAAGAACTGGATAGAAATCTTCTGGAAGTTGAAGGAACAGAGGACGTTCCTCTACCCAGCGTACCATCGACATCACTACCATCTAGACCAGGTATGATATGTCTCACACGCTGTGCAGCGAACCGTCCACCTCACAAGAATCTACACAATAAGATCATTAAATGTGCTGTTTTATTTCTGTTCCCGTTTTAGCCAAGAAGAAGGAGGAGGAAGACGAAGACGACATGGCAGACCTCGAGGCCTGGGCGGCTAACTAAGCTAGCTTGCCCTGCTAGCTAGCCAGTGCCCCTCTCCTGTCTGTCTCTGTGCTCCCAGGCTGGTCCCAGACATCTGGATGGAAGAGAGACAAGGACTCTGGGCTGCTGAGCTGGCTGTTGGCATGCTGCTCTGTCTTAAAGCCTACGTCCCAATATCTAACCATACCCCGACTCTAAAGTATGCACTCGTACACATATTCACTGACTTGAAATGAACCCAGGCTTTTCTCTTCTGATCAATGTTCCAGTAAGAATGTCTTTGCTCCAGCTGTGCACTCCTCTGTTTCTTAAGGGCATAGAATAAATGTCATGCCCTAACAGCCTGTGGTTATGTATATCCAAGTTCTCCTTGTGAGGAAACAAGAGTTGATGAATGTGCACTTCTTTTATTAGTCAGGAGCGTGCAAGTGCATACTTCTAGGGGGAGAGTGTGTGGAGGAACATGGTGATTCTTGTTTCTGGGAGGAATGTGAAGAATCAACTCGTGTGAAGAAAAAAAGCTAAAACAGAAAGATGACATGACTCAGCCATTTTCTGCTTCCTGCGTTGTCATCTCTCTGCTCTTCTACAGTGATGACGACAACCCATCGTCTACATGTCTCTGCTAAATCTCAACAGCTGCAAAAAAATATATATATAAATGATGAACATGTAGGCTTTCTCTTATATCTCTTCTCTATGTCACTGTCAAACTACAAAACAATGGCATGTTACAGCAGTGGTAACATCTTGTCATGGGAGGATCCAGGGTTTGATCCCTCTGTCAGCCATATCACACAGTGTCCTCCTGGAACGTCTTGTTATTAGGCAGCCTGGATCTAATCAAAATCCTAAATTGTCATGTGAAGAAAAGAGAGAATATATGAAAAACAGGCTTTGCAGCAGTTTCATTTCCCAGATATTCAAGCAGACATGGCTGCCTCAAGCATAGACGTCCCTTGAAGAAATTGCTTAATGAAACATTTAACAACCAACCTACCATTCTTCAATAAGTCAGTGAAAGTTAGCTGTTAGCTAACAGGCTCTATTTACTCATGTACTTGATACCGTTGCTCAGTGGTTCCCAACATTTTTGACTTGTGACCCTTTAAAACAAGGGTCAGTGTTTTCTTTTGATTCCTCGTCTCAGGCAGACGTGAGTGTGAAAAGTGTGACTTAGCGTTTTGCTTCATTTGAAGGATTTTCAGTGGTTTTAAGAGATAAATATCCAATATTTCACAAAACATAAGACATTAATCAGAAAAAAATGATATACATTGTGAAATATATCTTTGGACTCTTTGGGGAATCAGGAACCACTGGTTGATTCAGTAGGGTAATCAGGTACTTGATTATGTGGGTGGACTTTGACAGTAGATTCTTCATCATGGTCCTCAATGTCTTTTTGAGCTAGCTCAGCCAGCTACCAGAACAAGCTCAAGGCTGCTGACAGATTAAATTAAGTAACATAGTTCTTGATTTCTGTCCAAATTTGTCAACTCACTTTTAGATATGAAAGGCTGCTCTTCCTTCCCTTTTCAGGCTGTTGAGCAACCGCCAAGATGCTTCAAGTTCAGTTGAATGATGTCATAGCGCTGTCCCTAAAAAAGGTTGAAGTACTTATCAATCAATATTATAATTGACACTAGAGAGATAATGTGACTCATTCTACGTGCTAAAGGTCAGAATACCTCGGCGCCTGCTGCTTCAACTTGGACCGTTCTTTTCAAGTTCCCCGACTCCATGCAAGTACAACACTAAATCACTGTAATAAATCCCTTTAAGGAATTCATGAACGGTGGAGCCCAGATATGGGTTGGATGGTGTCGCTTCACCCAGATTACAAAAAAAAAACAATCTCAATCATCTGGCTAATTTATACCTTTACTTTTAACAAGACACCGATTGTAAGTTACCTTGTTGACGTCTTCATACATAAATCAGATGGATAAGTAGAAATATGATAGTTTCTCTGTCAAAAACTGCACAGATATCAACCAAAGCTACTCTGTTATATTAAGTTATAAATTGTAGGAGAAGCAGAGCTTCAATATGGCTGCCAGAGGGCACATTACAACACCTCGGAAGGCCTCTGTTACTCAATTTAAAATCACATGTGCCTGTCACCTCCAGCGCCTTGACTGTCTGTGGTTTAACAGTGATGTAATCGGAGAAAATCCTACATTAGTTGATTAAAGATAATGTGTGTGAGTATGTGATGTTTTTTCAGCCTTTTGACACAGTGACCTCTTGTGAATATTTAGTCAAACTGAAATGGTGAGCTGGAATTTTTTTGTCATATCTGCTCTTGACTCACCTGTAGTGCAGAATCGAGTTCGACATTGAGAGACGAACATGAGACGCGTTGGTTCCGTGTTGGTCTTCCTTATAAAACACACTTCCCTCCTATCGGCAGACATGTTTATGCATGGACGGACCGGGGTCGATCCAGAATCGAACAGCTGGTTGGGACTGTAATTTATGTCTTTAAATGAATCAATTAAAAAATTTAACTTGCTCTTTTTTGTAATGCAATATCACCTTATTTGTGAGTGGGTCGACCCCGGTCCTGATATTTAAAGACAAACTATTGAAAAAAACTTGCATATGCCAATAGAGTTTGTTTCTCTTTTGTTCTGTTTTTTTTTATCTCTCTGTTTACCTCAAATATCACTCATGTTCTCTCTGGCTGTACAGAAACGTGCAACCTTAACCAGTACAAAGGGGTTGGACAGGAGATCTTCCGCGTGGCTGCCATGTTGCTCTCTGACTGGGGTTGTATAAAGTTTATCTTAATAAAGTTGGGATTCGATGCAAATATCAGCACTGTTGCATCCGTTTGTACAGAAATAAGTTCTGGATCTTGGTTCTGTATACTTAGCAGTGCACCCTGGTGTTCGGGCTTCTTGTCTCTGTCATGATCACCTCACATCTATCTTGAGTACTACTTAAGTGAGATTTTGAGGTACTTGTACTTCACTTGAATATTTCCATTTTATGCTACTTTATATTTCTGCTCCACTATATTTAAGAAGGATGGAAACATGGTGCTTTTACTCCTACATGTATTTCATTTTTACAGTTACTTGCTACTTTTCAGATTCAGATTTTACATGTAAGCTTAGTTAGGGCTGCACAATAACTTAATAATATATTATTGAAATCACAATATGGCCAAGTACAAGTACTTGTATGCAAAGGTAAAATGTGAGACGAACAGCATTATAATGAAGAACTGTAGTGCTGCAAAGATTCCCTGGCCAACAAATCTTGTTCTCCAGATTTAAGAAAAGATTTGTTTGATACAGACCCCCAAAATGTTCACATAATCATCATTTTAATAGTTTAATTTGTGATGCAAAAATGATCATTTTCATACCGAACTGTATTGCAATATCTGTCAAAATAATGGTTTTTACCTTCTTGTGCAGCCCTACTGCTGAGCCTACAGCTAACATGCTAACAACAGAATATGAAAGTGGAGTATAATTATGAGAGAGATTTGATCAAATCAAATGCAACTAAGCACGTTTAAGTGTGCAGTGGTTTTGGAGCTGGACATCATCTGCACCTCTTCTGCCTGTAGGTGTAGAGACAGGATTAAACCTCAACCATGTTCTTTTGTAAATGTAAACACACAACCCATGAGCTAACAGAATATAGTGGTGTTTTAAGTGTTGGTCACGGTTAACTAGTCCTCTCAAATGTAATCAGATATATGTATGTATAGACCCTGAGTGCAAGATGAGTCATCAATAATACTTCAATGTTTTGCAGGAAGAGAAAAGAGACGTTGGTATATCAACATTTTATATATTTGGCAGATTAAAAGAGATTTAATGAATGCAGGGAATACAGGATAAGAGTAAAAGTAAAATTCTAATGTCAGCACAAAACTAGAATGTGCTACAAAGAGGCAGCTTTTGTATAAATCTGGATTAAGATATTGCTCATAGTCTGACTGTTACTCAGAGCTACTCAAACATTGAAATGTTTCAAATTCCACTTGAACAAAGCTTTAAAAAGAGGTGGGATTATGCACCTCTCTCATGCCAAAAATCCGTTAACTGGACCCGCATGTTTACACAAAGTTAACCCAGAACCTTGTTGATCCTCGCTTACTCTTTATATGTGGCACAGAAATGCTGCTGTTCTGAACTTTGACCTTATTGCCTGGTTTCTGGTCGTCGCTGTATACTGAAGACCCAAAGTATATTTTATGTAGAGGTCACCAGTGAAGCTATTTTGTGTGTAATTTAGGAAGGTAAGTCTTTTGATGTTATGAACATTTGCATGTTTTACATTTCAGATGTTAATTTAATGCTCCCTCATTATACTTATAAGGGTAACAATGCAGAGCTACCCATTGTTTGCACCAGTTGCATTCTTCTATTATTGATAATCTAGTAGCTTGAAAAAAAAAGGGGGGAATATAATCCTACTGTACAAATAATCCTATTTGCAAGAAAAAAAAAAACATTATTCCTTGTGAGTTAGATATTTTAAAATCTGAACAAAGAATTGCAGTCATTTTGGGACTGTGGGATGTTATTTACTATATAGACCCGAGTACACCTCCTCCAGAGTGTTTTGGAATTTAAAGTCAAACATGCGAGACTTCAGACCGATTGGGTGACAGTCGGCTGTGGTCCTGCTCAAGACCACTTGAAACATGCTCTTAAATTAGCTGTTGTCTAGTGTTTCTGCCGGTGTGCTGAGTTTAGCTCCTTCAACTTAGCCTTTCGCTCTCTGTACTTGTAGGCTAATAGTATACACTTCTCAACCGTATGTTGTCATTTTCAGGACAAGTTAGGCTTCTCAGAAATGGCATAACTTAGCATGTGAATTCTACTGCACAAGTTAAAAGGGATTTGATCTAAATTTAATGAAAAGGGTATTTGATCTGCCTCAGGCTGTTTATAAATCAGTCATATCTCTTATCACTGATGTCCTCCCTCATCAAAACAACAGTAAAACAGGAGAAATAACTGCAAAACCTAATGAGAAAATGTGCCTTCTTATTATAATATTCAGTCATTAATCATTACTTTGATTTCATGCGATTTTTTAGTCATGATGGTCTTTGTCTTTGTTTTTTGCATTAAATATTCCCAGTGTAAAGCTACTGAATATCATTGAAAACAACTTCAGTAATTGTATCTGCTGCCTCTCAAAGCGACATCAATTAATTTCCAATCAAGTATCACAATGTCAATATTACATGTAGTTGTGCAAGAAGGTGTGCGAGGCCTTTCCCCTCAGTGACACAAGGTCCGGTATGGAGGATATACTGGAGCAAAGCCAAGCCTGGGCTTAAGTTAAGTTTGGGCAACAGCTATTCTCAGCACACACACACACACGCACACATATGAGCATACTATAATAATTTTTAATGTTGGATTCTTTACTCTATAGGTTACTCATTATGGCTGCATTTAGGTGCTACACAAATACAGTTTCTTCTTAACATTATCACAGTGTTATCACATGTAGTGTATTATTGTTACATGCACATTCATTCTATTGATACAAGATATGATCTTTGCACTTGAGTGCTTAAAGTGCTTCAGTTTGAATAGTTCCTCAATGCTTCTCACAGTTTGAACACATCCAAGTATAACTTAAACAGTTCAAAGTAGAGTAGAGAGTAGTTTAAAGCGTTTAGCAATTAACCTGAGCCAGTCTCCCATCTGTACTGAGCATTATTGTGCGTGTTTTTTTTTTTAAACTTAATTTACCTATTATAAACCCCCAGGGGAGCCAATGAAACCCACCCCCTCACCTAGTCTTTGCATTGTATGTTCTGTACAAATGTCCCATTAAAAAAGTGCGCACAGCATGCTACATACGGCAGCTTCACCACAAACTAACAAGCACACATCGGTTGAAATGTATCCATTAATACACACTGTGAAATGTGATAAAAGTTAATATTACCAAACTAAAATCAGTAAAATCTGGTCCATGTATAAGACAGGGCCTTGAGATTAGGTAGTGATGCAGAACTTTTTGTAGATATTGCACTTTGGTGATGCAAATAAAAAAAGACCAAGAAGAGCACTTTATTTACCAACAATTACCATTAGGACACAATCAACTTGGGGCTTTTGGGACCTTCTTGGTGTGTAGGAGCCAAAGTCCGTATTTTTTACCTGGCTGCTAATTAAACCTTGCATTCACCTAATGCAAATATATTACATTATTTTGTGGTGAATCATTCTCCACTTCCAATACAATGTCTGGTTCAGTTCCCTGCAGAAACCCCTGCTTAAAACCTTAATATTCATGTATTCGGTACAAAAACTATACAGTATGTGTGGAATAAAATGTCATGTAACAACTTGTGTAACCTCAGTTCACCCTGTTATTCAACCCCAGTATTATAGAATACAATATAATCGTTACTTATTTGCTCTTTCAGCTTCCAGACCAAACTTGTTCCAACTAACTACACATACCAAACACCCCGCACTGCACCTCCAGTTATGATTGGCAGTCCCCGCCCACTTCATCCGCCTGACCAATCAAATCGCTCGTACGCGGGGCGGGAGCTGCAGCAGCCAATAGGAACCCAGAGTAGAGCCGCCCCCTGTCACGTAGAGATGCTTTTGAATGTGGCTCCGACGATAAAAAGCGAGCCGTCATGTTTCCGTCCCTCCCTCTCTGCCTCTGTCCGTCGGCTAGGCTGCACTCAACCTCCCCGCAACAAAACACCGCAAACCAACCATGTCTGAGAAACTTCCCTTCAAAGTCGGTCAGTCGTTATTTTAACCGTGTTTACCGGACGCGAGACGTAACGTCAGCGCGGCGGGTTTGTTAACGTCAGCTGTGGACGTCGGGTAACTGCTGTTGTAGCCAGCCGTGTTTAGCCTAGGAGCTAATCTTACAACGAAACAAATGCAGTTGCATGTTTTAGACTTTATTGGTTAATTACTACAGGTTTATAAGCTTCCCCCCCCACCTCCCCTGTTCTTTACCGTCGCTAACTTGCTAGTAGCATGTGGTATTACATTGTACGACGCTGTTATTGTTATTTAGCAGAGTGTTTATTGTGTTTGTTGTTATTTTAAACTTTTTACTGATAAACCTTCACTTTAAAACACAAGTCATCCGCATTTTTTTGCTCAAATCCGAGAATGAATCGACATGTTAGCGCCGAGTGTGGGCTCCGGCTGTGAGGGGAAGCTCACGCCCACAGCCTCTGGGAGTTGTAGTTTTATCAGCGGAGCCGGAGGCGTCACCTTCCTCGGCTCGGACTGCTTGCGAACTACATTTCCCGTGATGCCTAGCGCCTCGCCGCCAGCTTCTGCTTGAGTGACAGGAGCAGGCAGAGACGTTCATACCGTAGTAACGCTGGGACAACACGTGGTGCTCAACACATTATAGGAGGTTTATTTTTTTATTAAAGAGATAAAAGAGTTTTTGTTTAAGCATCTTATGAGGAGGGAGGGGGATAAGATTAAATGCAGATACTGGGACTATGGCCTCTTATTGTGGTTAGTGTGGGAATTAGGAGAAACATTTAGATCATCTTTTGCAGGATCTGTACGAAACAAATGTTTTCTTGAATCTGGAGAACATTAGTAGGACAGGGTATCTCTCTATTAGTACTACTATCTAGTACTCTATTATAAAGCTGCTTTTATCTCATTTATCAAAATAACTTCATATTACTGTTTCGGTTCATCGAGCAGCTGTGACTGCTGTGAAATTAGAAACTCACTTAAAAATGAACAACTACTTGGTTTGAATGCACGTGAAATGGGAGATGTTAGTTATTATCCATTTAAAATAACTCCAAATGTAACCTCATTATGTACTGAATGCTCTGTGTGTGTGTGTGTGTGTGTGTGTGAGAGAGAGAGAAGCAGCTGGTTAAAGCAGAAGGAGTTGCACAATGTCAGGACGAGAGATAACTGTGGGGCGAAGTCTACATCGACTACAACTCAGTGACTGAGTCCTGACGCGTTAATGAAAGCAGTCAGTGGGACACGTGATCAATACGGCCTGATGTGTAGTGATTGACAGTTACTCTGTAGTGACCTGTTGGTTTGCAGACGATGAATCTGCTGTTGGAGCCGTTTGTTCTGTTGATTTGTTGCTCTGGCGCTTTAAGCCTCGGGTTGAACACCGCGTTAAATATTTAAGCTCTTCTGAGCGGCCCTGGCTTTGTTCTCTCTGGGTGGGATTTGGACCCCCGGTACCTGCCGGTGTTGGCTCCCGGCTTGTGTCGCTGTACACAAACGCACAACGATTCCTCCTCAAAGGGAGTTCACTCGCTGACCTTCAGTTTAGTCCCGACTGAGCTGAATGTGAACGCGTGTCCCTGGTCCTGATCCTGGTCCTGTGTGCGGCCGCTCTGTCAGCCCGGTGCCGGTTCAGTGCAGAACTGGCTGGGTGTGTTTGCACAGGCTGCAGCCTCTGTGTGCAGGGAGCAGCGCTTCATTCAGCCTGCTGTTAAATGTCTGAGCCGTCTGTATGAAGGATTGAACTGCTGCTCAGCTGAATCAGACTAACTCTCCTAAACCAAAGGAACAGAGTGAAGAAGAACTTAAAGCAAGAAGCCGGTGCTGCTGAACATCCTCTGTTCGTTATTCACCTGTTCTGACACGTTAAAGGAACAAACCTGGAATTACCTGTTGCTATGCTACATTAGCCTGCAATTACAAACCAAAGCCGTGGATTGTCTGTGTCTCAGTGTCTCTTTGCAGACGTTCGTTTAGAGAGACCACGTTCTCTCCAGCGACGCTTCAACAAACGCTCCTGTGCTGCAGCAGCTGTCTGGAAGTGAACCCACTGTACAGACAGCTGTGGTTGTAAACGACCGTCAGCAGGGAGAAGGCTTCAGTGTCACGTGTTAGAGAAGGACCAGACCTCAGCAGACATCAAGACCACATCCTGCTTCTTTAGATTTAGCACGTCAATCATTCAGAGTCTAGTTATGTTTGTTTAACTGAACACAACATCTAACGTTCTCTAACCTCTCTCCCCCTCTCTCCCCCTCTCTCCCCCAGCTGACATCAGCCTGGCCGAGTGGGGGCGTAAGGCCATCGACATCGCAGAGAATGAGATGCCCGGTCTGATGAAGATGAGGGAGCTGTACGGTCAGTCCAAGCCCCTGAAGGGCGCCCGTATCGCCGGCTGCCTCCACATGACCCTGCAGACCGCGGTGCTCATCGAGACCCTCACCGCCCTCGGAGCTGAGGTGACCTTTAATCCAGAGCTCAGACACCAAACATTCGAGTCTTTAAGGTGTTTTAAATCTCAGAGTCGACACAGGCACATTCAGCTTATTTGCTCTTAAAAGTGTGAACTAAAGTCTCGCAGTCAGACATACGAAAAAGGGCCGAACTCACAAATTACAGTGATTGTTTTCAAAAGGAGTTGGATTGGACGAGCAGGTTTGATGCTGGATTCAATAAAATGCCACCTGTGATGTATTAAACTCCTCTCACTGACACACGAACATCTGAGACGTTCAGAGGCTGAAACCGGAGGATTCTCACTGCAGGTCAGAGAGAGGTTGCACATCTTAGAACAGGAGCATTACAGGTCCAAAAAAGAACATAATCCCCTCCTTTGTTAAATCAGGAGCGCCGTCGTACTCTCTCTGGTGCACTGGACTTTGTTTCAACTCAGTAAAATATTTCATTTATACATTTTCATGTCCAGTTAAAATTTTCTAGAAGACAAAACACACACGCTGCCAGCCCCCTTTGGCCCAGTTAGTCTTTATCCATGTTTGGTTTGTTCATTCATATGAAGCATCAAAGAGTCTGTGAAGTTTAGGCAAATAGAAAACTACTACTGAAGTCCTTTTGGCTTACTGATAACACAGCAGCTTGTGTGTGATAGCAGCAGCTGCCCAGTGTGACTGCTGTCGTCTTCTGCCTTGGTAATGTGCACTGGCAGTAGTTACTGAGAGGGCGAGTTCATTGATCCGTTTATTGGAACGATCTGCCTCAGCTCAGTCTGGCTTTTGTCTCTCCCTCTCTTTTGCCTCGAGGCCAGTGTGCTCTGTTATCATGTTGGTTTTTATCTGTGTGAGCAGGTTTTATCCTGTGGGAACCTGCACCCTGCAGCCAACAGAATCAACAACCTGCTCTCTCCGCTGGGGGTTGGAATGGGAATGAAACTGACTTTGACATAATGCAGTGGCAGTTCATTCATTTCTGCTTTTCAGAAAGATTTTCAAAGATTACAATACGGCTGCAGCTATCGAATACTCCATCGATTAATCGAGTAATCGGATAAAACATACTTTTGCTTAATTAAAGCCCGATTATAAATATACAATAGAAA